CCGCAAGGAAGTCGATTAAAATAACATGCCACATTTTCCCCTGCAGTCAAATTTATCTGCGAAAGCAAGTTAATTGTGACTCCAAAATGTGTTCCCTAATGCAAATGCATTGCCATTAGCACAGTAGTGTCATGTTTGAAAATAGTCTTCTATGGGAGATGATTTTTTCTCTAGAGCTGTTGCCAATTGCTCCACATCAGACAGGAAGCAGAGAGTGGTGGTGAACGGCTGTTTTTCTGACTGGAGGAAAGTGTGCAGTGGTATCTCCCAGGGTTCAGTATCGGGACCACTGCTGTTTTTGATCTACATAAATGACATGGACTTGGTTATAGGGAGTACAATTTCCAAGTTTGCAGATGATACTAAGCTAGGAAAAGTAGTAAACAGTGCAGAGGATAATAGCAGACTGAAAATGGACATAGACAGACTGGTAACATGGGCAGACACGTGGCAGATGAAGTTTAATGTGGAGAAATGTGAAGTGATGCATTTTGAGGGGAAGAATGAGGAGAGACAATATAAGCTAAATTGAAGAATCTTAAAGGGGGTGAAGGAACAGAGAGACTTGGGGATTCATATAAGTAAATCTTTGAGGTGGCAGGACAGGTAAATAAAGCTGTTAAAAAAAAGCATACGGGATACTAGGCTTTATAAACAGGGGCATAGAATACAAAAGTCAGGAAGTTACGATGAACCTTCATAAAACATTGGTTAGGCCTCAGCGAGAGACTGTGTTCAGTTCTGACTTTAAGAAGGATGTCAAGGCATTGGAGAGTGTGCAAATGAGATTTATCGGGATGGTACCAGGAACGAGAGACTTCAGTTATCAGGAGAGGCGAGAGAAGCGAGGAGTATTCTCCTTGGAGCAGAGGAGGTTAAGAGGAGACTTAATAGTAATTTTCAAAATTATGAGGGGACTAGGTAGGGTGAACAATGAGAAACTATTTCCACCGGCGAGTGGGTTGGTAACCTGAGGATACCGTTTTAAAACAGTTGTTTAAAGAAACAGAGGTGAGGAGAAATTTTTTCACACAGCGAGTTGTTCGGATCTGGTTGTTGTGCATAGCCTGGAAGGGTGTGGAAGCCGACTCTGTAACAACTTTTAAGAGTGAAGTAGATAATTATTTGGGGAGGACAAGTTACGGGGCTATGGGGAGAGCGCGGGGTAGTGGGATTTATTTGGTTAGCTCTTTCAAAGAGCCGGTACAGACATGATGGGCCGAATGGCCGCCTTCTGTGCTGTACAATTCAACGAGACCATTCTGGGGAGCAACATAGCAACAAAGTGTGCCACATGGGAGTGTCAACCTGAATCATCTGATCAAATCTCAAGACTGATACTGAATGCCTTCAAAATAAGTACTTGGATAGTGCCTTTCAATAATAATTCCTTGCATTTGATATAGCGCCTTATCACGTCATTGAGGCATCTCAAAGTGCTTCACAGAATGTACTGTGAAGTGAATTTTTCACTTTTTATTTTGTGGTCAAAACATGACTGCCAATTGCACACAGCAGTGTCCCACAAACAGTCATGGATTGAGTGCCCAAATTATTAATTAACTTTTTTTTGAAGGGGTTATCACCCCAAGAAAAGCGATCCACCAATCGACTACCAACTGGCTTCCATTTACTGTTGGTAAACAGAGGCGTGTATGTGGCGTAAGGAAACTTGCCGAAGGTTTCATTCCAGCCAGGAATCAAACCCGGGTTCTCTCACCTGCGATGCAAGTGCTCTAACCCATGCACTACATACTCCACTGAGTGTATGAACAGTGCTTCTCAGAAGTAAGAATTAAAAGGATGATAGACTCAGCAGTTTGGTGCTCGCAGGAGATTGGCCTTTTTCTCCATGCAGGGCGCATAGTGCAGCTGGAGGAAATTTGCATGCTTATCAATTCAAATGAGCACACAACTTTAACTGTATAATTGAGTACAATAGTCCCTTATCCTTCTGAAAGCTAATGACGCTGTGGGTGGGGTTGTGGGAAGGTTACAAAACAGGTAACTACCAGTATGAACTAAGAAATTCATATGTTCAAGCTATGATTACAGCCACAAACTACACAGTCAATTCATTTGACAGTATTTTCTGTGAAGCGCTTTGAGATGTGTCAAGAACGTGATAAGGCGCTATACCAAATGCAAGGATTATTATTTAATATTATAATAAAGGCCTATCCATTCAGGATTAGATTGCAGTGGGGAGGACAAACTGATGCCTCAAGATGTCATTGACAAATTGCCAGCAATCAACATTACTTGGATAATAATCCTTACATTTGATATATAGCTCCTTATCGTGTCATTGAGGAGTCTCAAAGCAGTTTACAGGATATGCTGTAAAGTATTTGTGTCTGTATTTATAGGAGAACGCAGCAGTCAATTTGCGCACAACGATGTCCTACCAGCAACCATGAAGTGAATGACAAATTTTATTTGTGGGATTGTTGGCCAGGACAACAGGAGATAGAACCTCCCTTATCTTTATCGAACACTGTCATGCAATCTTTAACATCCTCCTGAACAGACAGGCGAGACCTTGGTTTGACATCTTAGCTAAATGGATGGCACTTCTAACAATGCAGTGCTCCCCCAACACTGACACAATCTGGAGACGGTGGGGGGGGGGGGGGGGGGGAAAGAGGTCTAAAGTATGAGGTAACGGTCCCAATGCGGGGCTTGAACCCACAAGCTTCTGACCCCCAGGTGAATGAGCCAGGCTGACAACCTACAGTGCAACAGGCGAAGTAAAAAATACCATTATTCACTCCCAGAGCCTTGCTATTCCAAACAGTGCTGACTGAATTTTGTTTAAAATAAGGGGAGCAGAGTGATAACCTGTCCTTCTGGTCAATCACCTAACCGGTCCTGAGATTATCCTGCCTTCAAGGCCTTCCACAGCCTTGCTCCTCAGTATCTCTGTGATCTATTAACTCCATATAGACCAGTCCGCTCCCTCCAGTCAGCGGGCTCCGTCCTGCTCCATGTCCACTGCCCGGTCCACCCCACCATTGGCAGTCTGGTCTTCAGCCTCTCTGCCCCCACACTTTGGAACTCCATCCCACAGGTCCTTGGTCTCGCCCCCTCCCTTGCCTCCTTGGCCTGTCTCAGACCCTCCTCTTCGATCACACCTTCGGTCACCCTCCTACCCCTACCCTCCCTGCCTTCCAGGTCCCAACACCCCCAGCTCGGGTCCAAATCCCTGACTGTCCAGTGCCTTGGGACGTCCTCCCGACGTGAGAAGCGCTAATTACAAAAGTAATGCGTTGTTGTTCTGGAATCGTATGCACTTGACATTCAGTCAGAGGGCGTGGGCTATCCCACCCAGCTACAAAAAAACAACTCCCCAGACACAACTACACCCTAAAGATCAAATATTATCTCACCAATCTTTTTAACATGATTTGGCAAAGGGAGGGAGGGAGAGAGAGAGCGAGAGAGAGAGAGAGCTTGCTGGGATTTTTAGAAAAAAAAATCTGACATGTTAGAAAAATTCTGCAATGGTAACTAACTCTGCTATAAATATATTCTGTATGATGCTGCATTTCGTAAATCTCCCTACATTTTTTTGTGTGGTACAATTCTGGGTACTGCTTCCGTGCTACGTGCTATTTCATTGACACGAGACGCAGCTGGTGTCAGCAATTGACCCCTACAGCAATGAAAGGCAACAAAAGGCAATTTCCCTTCCATTAAATCAACCCCCGACCAACACAGCCGTTAAAAAGGCATTAGTACCAGAGAGAAAAGTTTTTAGCATCAACCCAGCAATAAAACAACAGGACCGGTCATCAAATACTGATGCGGAAACCCTTTTCTAACCTAAGGGTTCGAACATTTTCCTCTTCCTGGTATGAAAAAAAACCAAGCGGTAGTGTTTTGACTGCTCAGTGCAGGAGGTTAGAAATATTTCCAATTGTTTGGTGGCAGGCAATTGCGTCGCAAAGGGTTCGCCCAAGAAGCAATCTTGTTTCTGCAACAGAATAAACGTTTGGGTGTTTTTTTATTTTAAAAGATATAATTAAATGGAGGGGGAAGGGGGGATAGATTTACTCCTCAAAGGACAGACCTAGGAATTGGGTTAGAAATAGGGGGCAAGGGAATTTGATAGCTTTAATGAGAGCAATTTTCTACGCCCCCCCCCCTCACCGCTTCTCAACCCTCTTCCCCTGACCAGGAACTAGGGCAACAACAATTATTTGCTACGAAAACACCTGCCGGGCTCTAAACACCCATCCTTCTGATATTTTTCACTCTGGACATTTATTAATGTTATTTAATATGCTGTTATTTAAAATGCACAGAAAGTCTGTGCGTCTGTTCCAGCGTTGAAAACTTACACTTAAGCTTTATCATTATTACCAATCGATAATATTTACATTATTGCAAATAAATGACATTTATATTTGCATTCTCGCCAATCAATAATATTTGTATTTTTATTAGAAACAAATCATATTTATAGAATTGATACTCAGAGAGGAGAGGGGGTGGGGGGTGGGGGGTAAATTCATTTTCCCCTCTTCTTAGCCCACACCCCACACCTCCCCACAGCCCCCCCCCCCACACAAAAAAAAAGGAAATCTGCTCTTAAAATATGCCAAGATTTCAAAATGCAGACAATTCCCTTTAAGGTGAGACAAAAGGATACAAAGAAAAATGAAGCAGGTAATAAAAAACAACAGCAACCTTGTTGCTGAAAATAGACAAGTTTCTTTAATTTCCTTTTTTTTCCCCTCATTTCAGTAACAATGTAGTGTTGCCAAAGTCTCCCAAAATAACACAACCAAAGGTTGATAAATAATTGGAAACGTTTGTATCCTAATGTGTGTGACAGTTTCACAACAAACAACTCAAATCCTCACTCACTCCATATCCCCCCCCCCAAACCCTGCCCTTGCAGTAGCAGAAATTGCAGTTAAAATGCCTTCACCCCCCCCCACCCAAAAAAAAACCCCAACAATAATAATAATTTAAATGCCCTGAAAGCTACTCACGAGTTGTGGTTCTGTTTCCATCACCTCCATGGCCAGTTATTTTTTTTTGCACCACCAACCAACCAAACCCCCCCCCTCCAGCCCACCCCCTCCTCCAACAGCAGCAAAAGTCAGAAGGAAATTGTGTTGAGCTTTTTTTTTAATCTTTTTTTTTATCTCTTCCCCCCCTCTCTCTCTCTCTCTCTCTCTGCAAAGCTTCTCAGTGTCTGTGTCTTTTTTTTAAATCTTTTTTTTTATCTCTTCCCCCTCTCTCTCTCTCTCTCTCTCTCTGCAAAGCTTCTCAGTGTCACCAGTGTCTGTGTCTGTGTCTTCACCAGTCTGGGCTCTCACACACACACAGTCTGCAAATCAACCCCCAACACAGCTCTACAGGGGAAGCAAACTGCAAACACCAGCCTTTCAAACAAAGATCAGGCTCTTTTTTTTCCCCTTTCCTTTCCTTTCCTTCCCCCCTCTCTCTCTCTCTACACACAAAGCCCCTCTACCCTTTTTCACAGCAACCTTTTTTTTTGGGGGTGTAGGGAACCCTACATCCATCAATCAATCAATCAATCAATCAATCAATGGGATCTTGCCCCCACTTCAGTGACCTGAATTGCGCTTTTCTTTCGAATCCGCAAGAAAGAACTTTTCCGTCCTCCCTCCCCGCACCCGCCCCCCCCACTCCCTTCACCACCACCACCACCACTTGAACGACAAAAATGGCCTCTTCTTCTGAAGAGTCCTCAAAACCTTCTGGGGTTTGTAGTTCTGAAGCCGTGAATTGAAATTTCCGTGCCCTGCTGCGCTTTTTTTTCTGGACGGGTTTATTTGGCGCAAAGTTTGACAATCCCCTCGAGGGGATTGAATTCAAGTTCGTTGTCATTTTGTGATCGCAGTCAATCGATCCACTTTGCGGTATATTCTTCAAAGCGCTTCGAGGCGTCTCGACGATGCGATCGACTAAGAATAATATTCCAGGACAAAAATTGAAAGAGCATCAGATTATCTGCATATTACCTTTCACCTCTTCGATCTGAGATTAAACAGACGAGTGCCTCTCTTTAATAGAGGTTTAAGTCCTATATATTAATAATCCTTGCATTTGATTTGCGCCTCATCACGGCGTTGAGACGATTCAAAGCGCTTCACAGAATATAAAGTGAATTGACTGTATATTTGTGGGGGAAACGCGGCAGCCAATTGCGCACAGCAGTGTCCCACAAACAGTCGTGGATTGAAGCGACCAATTTATTGTTGTTTTTTTTCTTGAGGGATTATTATCAGGCGCGGAAAGTAAGGAAAGTTGCCCAAGGTTTCACTGCGAAACATACAGTCAATGTGAAAGCAATATGTGCTATACAAATGTAATTTGTTGTTGTTGTCGATTTGGAGACATTTTAGCACGGTTTTCCGTGGCTTTAGGTACATTGAACAACATTGCCGAAAGTACTGTATTGCCATTAAATTGCTATTGTGGTGGAGAGAGCCCAAACGAACAGTTGCTTATGTGGGAGTCCAGTAGGCGGCGCTCTTAACATTCTTTAATTTTCAGATTTTGGTGAACTTTAGCTTGTATTTCGAATCAATTCCATAATAAATAAATAATAATAATCTTCATCCTTGTGTTTGATATAGCCGCCTTATCAGGTAGAGTATAGTATCCGCCATACCTCTCCCCAAAAGCCGCTGAAACCCTGATCCATGCCTTTGTCACCTCCCGGCCGGACTATTCAAACGCCCTCCTCGCCGATCTCTCATCCACTACCATCCATGACATCCAACTCATTCAGAACTCTGCCGCCCACATTCTCACCCGCACCAAACTCGCTCCCCGATCCCCCCAGTCCTGGCCAGACTGCACTGGCTCCCTATCCCAGAGAGGATCGATTTCAAGATTCTCACCCTCGTATTCAAGTCCCTGCACTCCTCTGCACCCCCCGACCTCTCTGACCTCCTCTCTCCTCAAAACAGTACCCGTTGCCTTCGTTCCTCTGGGTCTTGCCTCCTCCTCGTCCCTTGAGTCCTCCGCTCCACCCTCGGCGGCCTTGCCTTCAGCCACTATGCCCCGAGGCTCTGGAACTGCCGTCCTCACTCCCTTCGTCTCGCTCCCTCCCTTCCCATTTTCAGGTCTCTGCTGAAGAATTTTCTTTTCGACCGCACCTTTGTTCACCTTCTTCACCCTCACCCTCCCCCTGGCTTGGTCCCGGGATTCGGCACTCTGAGACGCCGTCCGGCGTGGAGGGCGTTATATAAATCCAAGTTGTTGTTGTTGACTGTGTATTCTGTAGGCAAACTTAACCAGTTGTGCTTGATGCTGACCCTCTGGGTGCAGAGTCTTGTTCTTTCCTTTAACGTATAGGCATATTGGTGAACCCCGATTTATTTCAAAACATACAGCATATTGCACAGTGTTAATATAACAAAACTTTTGCTTTCAATTGCATATAGGAATGAAAACTATTTCAACCTCTCTTTTTCAATAAAATAATAATCCTTGCATTTGATATAATGCTTCATCACATCATTGAGACGTCTCAAAGAGCTTCACAGAATATATTGTGAAGTGGAGTGACTGTATTTTGTGGGCAAAATGCGGTAGCCAATTGCGCACAGCAGCCCACAAACAGTCGTGGATTGGGTGACCGCATTACTTTTGGAGGTACGAGTAACCTCGGAAAGTGATCCACCAAGCGACTAGCAACCAGGTTGCTACTTACTACTAGATAAACAACAACAACAACAACTTTCACTTCTATAAACAGAGGTGTGTGGAATAACAACAGCAACAAGTCCACTGGCTTTCCATCACACAGAGGATAAAGTTCAAGATCCTGGTCCTCACCTTCAAAGCCCTCCATGGCCTTGCTCCTTCCTACATCTGCGATCTCATAACCCCTTACCATCCTGCCCACTCCCGCCGCTCAGCGGACTCCGGCCTGCTTCATGTCCCCCACCTCGCCCAACCTACCATTGGCAGGCAGGCCTTCTGCCACTCTACCCCCACCTTCTGGACCTCCATCCCGCAGTCCCTCCACCTTGCTTCCTTCAAGACCCATCTCAAGTCCCTCCTCTCCGACCGTGCCTACGATCACGCTGCTTCCCCCCCTGACCTCCACCCTCCCCAATCCTGACCCCAGCTCGGGTCCGAAATACTGACTGTCCAGCGCCTTGGGACTCCCGATGCTATACACGTAATTTTATTGTTGTTGTTATTGTGGAATAAGGAAACTTGCCTAAAGTTTCGCTCTGCATGGGGATCGAACATGTGTCCTCTCGCTTGTAAGGCGAGTGCTCTAACCACTAAGCCCCAGGACTCTATGATAAATTTAGATGAGGGAGGAATAAAAATGTGACTATTTCCCCAAAAGGGAAATTAATAAATTAATACTGCAATCATTTTGATTGAATTCTCTCACACATATGCATAAAGAGCAAAGAATCAATCGCAGTTTGATGCCATTTTTCTTTTCATGTCAGGTTAACATTTTTGTTTTCCCTTTAATTTTCACAATAGCTTATGTACCAGTTTCTGCACTCAATTCCATTCCTCGGACTGTACCATTCCCTGTCTCATGCTGAGGTATTTTATATGAAATGGTAAAATAAAACATTCATGATGTACAGTTAACAAACAAAAACAAACAGAATTACATTTGTATAGTGGCGTTCACATCGGGAGGATGTCCCCCAAAAAAACACATTATTGAATTTAAACTACAATTAAAGAACTAGAGTATGTTAAAACAAATCTCAAGCCTCCAAATTAGAGACTAGAAAATCTTTCCTGTACACTATGCGGAATAATTGATACGTGGAATAGATGTTTAGTAAAAACTGGTAGTTACTTGTCTATTATAATAAAAATGATAAACTTTGCGTCAATGTTGTTGAAATGTCTCAAAGCACTTCACAATACTTTTACTGTAAAGTTTAGCAATTGTGTATTTTGTAGGCAAAACAAACACAACAGCCAATTTGCACACAGCATTGTACCACAAAGAGCCATGAAGTGAATGGTCAGTTTTAACAGGGAGTTTGTTGACCAGAAGACCAGGAATACCTCCCTTCTAAAATGCAGTTAATGCAGTTTTCTCTTTGACCGTGCCTTCAGCTCACCTCTCGACTCTCTACCCCCTCCTCGCTCCCTCCCTTCCCTCCCCTCACCCTGACCATTTCCCCCCTTGCTGGGGTCCTGACCCAATTGTACAGCGCCTTGGGATGTCCTCCTGACGTGAAAGGCGCTCTATGAATGGAATCTTGTTGTTGTTGTCGTTGTTAATGAATATGTGATTAAGATTGTCAGTGAAATGACATAAGAATAAGCAAAGGCATATATTATCAGACACTGTGCAGCGCTATCAAGATCATGGAAATGTTACCTGTGGTCAGCGATGAATAATGCAGGTTGTGGTGATGGATTGATTTCCTGAGGTCTTTCATTCAATTAGCTTCAAAGATTCGGGGGAGATTTTAATGGAGCATTTTTTTCTTAAATGTCCGATTTGTGGATGGTGCCTTCTTCGGGAGATGCGGTAATTTGGGCACATGCATTTGGACATATGTGAATGTGTTTTTTGTAAGTTCTCAGCTTCACAGGCAGCACGTTTCACTGAAGCTCTGAGACTGAACAAAACTGCATATATCCCAGGGATATTACATTATAGCACTGCTGTTCAGATCCTTGTTTAAAGATGATTGATTATTGTCTTATTGTTTTAGAGGGCAATCCTTTATGTTTCTCCCATAGGTAAAAACAGACCGTGGCATCTTCGTATCCGATTAAAGTCCTAGACAAAAGCTGATTTTGAAAAAAAAATCTTTTTTTTATAATAATAATCCTTGCATTTGATATGGCAGCTTATCATGTCTTCGAGACGTTTTAAAGCGCTTCACAGAATATACTGTAAAGTGAATTGACTGTATATTTTGTGGGACGAAATGCAGCAGCCAATTGCGCACAGCAGCGTCCCGCAAACAGTCATGGATTGAATGACCACTTTTTTTTGAAGGAATCATTATCCCTGGAAAAGCGATCCGCGGATCGACTAACAACCGGGTTCCTACTTACTGCTGGGTGAAAAGGTGTGTGGAGTAAGGAAACTTACCCAACGTTTCGCCCAGCCGGGAATCGAACCCAGGTTCTCTCGCTTGTGAGGCGAGTGCTCTAACCACTAAACTCCAGGACTCCACAATATGATTATCAATGGGTAGGAATGTAGTGCTCATTTGCTTTCAGATTGTCATCCACTGGCTCTGAATTTCTTGCGTGTTCTGCTTTTATTTCTGAATTCTGATGTCTGCAGTTTTTTCTCTTCTAATCGCTCCTAATCTTTTATATTTCGCCAAAAGTTACCGGGAATAAATCCCGTTGATAAATGTATTTCTGCTAACTCGAGGAACAGCAGCAAAGTCGCAGAAATCTGACACTGCAAAAATCTTGTGACTTATTTTATATAACATGTACTGTCCACTGCGCGTATCAGGAATCAAGTTACGAACACCGTAAACTGATAATGTTCTGGGTATTATTCGTCTGATGTTTGATAGCTCAGCGAAAAAAAAACAGTGTCACCTTTTAATAGAAATAATCACATTAAATATTAGTTGGCAAGAAAAGGCCAACTAATATTTAGGCAGCAGTAACCCCGAGCAATCGACACTTTTTGCCTGTGTGATGTTTCCCTCTTGTTGCCTGGAACATTCACTGTCTTGTATTCTAACACTGAGGCGAAACCTTAGACAAGTTTCCTTACTCCACACGTCTCTGTTTACCTAACAGTTAGTAGGAACTTGCTTGTTAGTGAATTGGTGAAAAGCTGGGGGTTTGTGGGGGTAAAAATCCCTACCCCCAAAAAATGTGGTCACTCAATCCACAATTGTTTGTCAATTTACTTTACCATATATTCTGCAAAGCAGTTTGAGGCGTCTCAATGACATGATAAGCCGCGATATCAAATGCAAGGATTATTATTATTATTATTATTATTATTATTATGGTGTTCACCCAGTATAGCACGTGTGCAGATATTGACCCTGGTGTTTTCTCAGAATACAAAAATGCCCAAAGATATTGTGGTGGAGTGTTTTCTGAGAATACAAACATATCAGGAGATATTGCGGAGTTCAGCAGAATCCAGAGTTTGCAGTGGCCAAAATACAAGCTCCAATAGTTCCCGTTTCAGCGAATGATGGGCAACTCCGGGGTTGAACTTTTGCACACAACGCAGTGTTCCAGGCAACAAGAGAGGAAATCCCACAGGCAGAAAGTGTCGGTTGCTAAGGGTTACCGCTGCGTTTCAGTATAGACTGCAAATAGAAACAGAATTGCCTGCAATTCTCAGCAGATTTATTAGCGTCTGAGAGACAGAGGTTGGAGACGAGACGAGACCAATTGCAGAAATCAGCAGTGAGGTGTGCCAACTCTCCAGCCCCACTCTCCAATATTGCCTATAGTTTGGCACCTCCGATGCGTATACAAAAATACCAATAATTGTTTGCATTTGATGCAAACGTCTTATCACGTCGTCGTTCCGTCTCAAGGTGCTTCTCACGGGATCTACTGCAAAGTGAATTGACTATACGTATTTTGTGGGCGAAACGTGTCGGTTTCACATCGCGTCTCGAGCGCGGCTGAAGGAAAAAAATGACTTCATTTACACTGACGCGGATATTTACACTGACGCGGATCCGACGTCCCTCGCGGGGGGGTGGGGGGGGGGGGGGCAATAACAACGATAATAACCCTGGCAGGTGACAGAGCGCCTGATCACGCCGCCGAGACGCCCGGCCGCGCGTCACGGGACACACACCGCGGGCCGCGGGTGTCGGACTGCGGGCAGAGCGCGGCAGCCAATGTGACCGCTCGGTGACCGCTAGCGATTGATTGTTCCACCGCAAACGGCCTGAGACGAAATAAGATCGAAACGAACCGAAAGAAGGCAAAAAAGAAATCGTGGGAAATTACAAATCCCAGAAAAAAAAACACCATCTGAAACCTGGTCCCTCCCTCTTTTTTTTTGGCACAAACACACACTCTCTCTCTCTCTCTCTGTGTGTGTGGTTTACATAATTTATGGTAATATGGGGGGTGTGTGTGTGTGCAGTGGGTGTGTGTATGTACCACAACATGATGCGTGTCCCGGAAATCACAGGTAGATGCAGGAGCTGTGGATTGCATTGAGGACCTCTGGTTTGGCTCTGGTTTGGCTCTGCGTTGAAAGCGGACGCGTGGAATAACGCGGCAGCGCTGTAACCGAGGAGTCGGAATACCTCCCTCGCCTTTGCATTGAGTGGGGAGAGGAGGTGTTGGTGGAGGGGGGAGAGGAGGTGTTGGTGGAGGGGGAGAGGAGGTGTTGGTGGAGGGGAGAGGAGGTGTTGGTGGAGGGGAGAGGAGGTGTTGGTGGAGGGGGGAGAGGAGGTGTTGGGGAGGGGGGAGAGGTGTTGGTGGAGGGGGAGAGGAGGTGTTGGGGAGGGGGAGAGAGGTGTTGGGGAGGGGGTTTGGGGAGGAGGTGTTGGTGGAGGGGGGAGAGGAGGTTTTGGGGGGTTGGGAAGGGATTTGGGGAGGAGGTGTTGGTGGAGGGGGAGAGGAGGTGTTGGGGGGTTTTGGGGAGGAGGTGTTGGTGGGAGGGGGTTTGGGGAGGAGGTGTTGGTGGAGAGGGTGAGGAGGTGTTGGGGGTTTGGGGAGGAGGTGTTGGGGAGGGGGTTTGGGGAGGAGGTGTTGGTGGGGGTTTGGGGAGGAGGTGTTGGTGGAGAGGGTGAGGAGGTGTTGGTGGAGGGGAGAGGAGGTGTTGGGGTTTTGGGGAGGAGGTGCTGGGGAGGGGGTTTGGGGAGGAGGTGTTGGGAAGGGGGTTTGAGGAGGAGGTGTTGGGGAGGGGGTTTGGGGAGGAGGGGTTTGGGGAGGTGTTGTGCATTGTGTGCATCGGTGCTGAGGGGCTAACTTGATGATGGACCCGATGAGCCAGGAGGCGGTGGTCAGCTTTGTGGTGGAGGCCGGGGGCAAGGTCCGGAACTCGGAGTTGCTGTACCGCTTCAGGTCCGCTCTCCATCACAGCGACCCGGAGCGCAGGCGGCAGCTCCGCGACCTCTTCAAGCGCCACATCAACGCCGTGGCCGTGGTCCGCGAGGAGGAAGGGGTCAAGTTTGTGGTCCTGCGGAGGAAGCTGCAGCACCTGTTGCCCACCGGTTCGGCGGTCCCGGTAAAGCCGTCGGTAAAGCCAGCGCCGAAACCCGGTGAGGAGGACGGCGGCGGGTGGCGAGAATGCGCCGGGGAGGGTTTGCGAACGGGAAGCGCCTCCGCTGCGCCCGGAGAGGAGGTGCCCCAACCCTCCTCCAGCCCTCCATCTTCACCAGAGACCAACTTCAGTGCACTGAGCTTCAGCCAGAAAGTTGGGAATTACGAGACCAAATCTGGGGACACCAACACCAACAGCACCAGCAACTCGCCAGGAGCTCCCAAGGTGTTGCCCCCCCCCAAAGCCAAACCCCACATGTACCCCCTCAGACTCCCGCCCGATTGCAACAGGTACAGCTCCGGTCAGAGCCGGCAACAGCAACCGCCACGGCAAGGCACTAGGAAGACCGTCCAGAATGACACTCAGTCCACAGAGGTCTCCCCGGACCCTTCGGGGGATGGGGACGATGACCTCCAGGTGCCCCAAATGAAGAGGAGCCAACCCGCGGAAGCTGCCGGCAACTCGCCCCAGTTGAAGAGGTCTTCGCGGCTCCCGAAGGCGAGCGAGGATTTGCGTCTGTCCGACCAGGTGCCCCTGGACCCCGTGGAGCACGAGTGGTTAGTAAAGACCGCCCTGGGCCAGTGGACCCATGTGTGCGGCCTCCTGCTGAAGGACGTTAACCTGGCCGAGAAGAGGGACTTCATGTCCGGTTTCACGGCCATCCACTGGGCGGCCAAATCGGGCAACAGCGAGATGGTTTGCTGGATCATCGAGACGGCGGAGAAGAAAGGCGCCAAGGTCGACATCAACGCCAAAGCCTATGGCGGCTACACGCCCCTGCACATCGCCGCTATCCACGGCAAAGAGGACGTCATCCTTAAACTCGTGCAGGACTACAGGGCGAACACGAACCTCCGAGATTACAGCGGGAAGAGACCCTATCACTATCTGAATAAGGGCAACTCGCTAGCGGTGAAGCAGTTGTTGGGAGATCCGGACGCCTTCATCCCCGAAGCCGTTCCTCTTCACAAGAGAAGCTCCAAAGTGGCTCACTCTATCCTGAGCTCCACCAACACCTTTCTCGGCGCCTTGACCGACGACATAAACTTCCAGGACATTTCCAAATCCTTGAAGAAACCGGCCAATTTGAGCAAGTTTTTCGCTGCCCCGTCAATGTACAAGAAAAGACCCAAACTCCGCGGGAACTTCACCTCCTTGAACGAGGAGCCCGAAGAGGACGGAGTAGACGAGGTGGCGATGAGGCGACGACCGGTGACTGAGATTTTCCTCTGAAAGTTTTTCTAGGTTTTTATTTTCAAGAGAGTTTTTTTGAAAAAAACTAACGTGAATTATAATCGTAGAGGATAATTCCCTCTCCCTCGTGACGTTTACTTTCTTACTGTCATCTTTTCTTGCAGACTGTTTTTTTTTGAGTTACACTTTTATGTTTTGCAGGCGTTTGGACTCACAGAACACTATTTTTTGGGGGGCTATACAGTAAAATTGGCATAAGTCTGATCTGTATAACACGTATAATCGCCTAAGTCTTATTTCTCTTTTGCTCAAGTACCGGTCAAGAGTTTATATTCTATGCAAGTTTGACATGACTTTTGCATAAGTCATATTTAATGTATGAGCCCGATTGATAAGACTTAGGAGAGGTTTACTGGTATATAACAGTAGCATTCAGCTATAGAAATCTAAAATAATAATCTAAAAAATGTTATTATTAATTGATCTCCTGTGACTGCATACCGTAGCTTATGTTGCCCAACCATGTCTTTTGCACTGTTTATTTCCCCAATGCCTTGTTTTTGGTCAGTCTGCTGTCTTACATGCATGGAACTCTGTTCGGTTAGGATACATACTCTTAAGCATGGTGGCGGGTGACAGATGCAAGTGTCAGACACCCAGCTGACCCCCCAAAAAACATTTTCTGAAAACCTTTATCAGAAGTTTTGAATGTCCAATTTTAAAGGGAAGGTGAAACTGTTGTGTTCTCTTAAATGTTACTTCTACCTATATCTCTACATTTTAGTGTTTGGTGATTTAAAACGACCGACCACGGACCAAAGGTTTCTTATCCTGTGAATTGAAACTGTTTCTGTTTCAATGTCACGAAAGAGAATATTTAATACAAAGTCTCTGTTTCCAGGGACAACTACTTTGATTAAAGAATAACTGGATAACTGAGAGGTGGGGGGGGAATTACTTTCAGTATCAATGGCACACTACATATTGCAAAGATCCTGTGCATTCTGCCCTTAACAAATATTACTAGTTACTCAATATGTAACTGAAGCAAACAGATTGTTGGTTAGAACTTTCATGGAAAAATTCCTGTCAGCTGAATGCTGGTCATGGCACTGTAATGTCCAATATCCCAACTCATTGATATGAACATATTAGTAGATGGTTACATTCATGGGGTGGGTAAAGATTGCTAGAATTGCCGCGCAATCCCATCGAAGTACAGTAGAACCACAAATATAACATGGCTTTGCTTATAGTGTAATTTGGTTGTGAACCCCGACAGTGACTTAAGCAAATTGTATGCTCTGGCTCCATTGTTGCATAAAGACAAAATGGTCAACTTCCCGGTAATCAGGTCACCAGCGACCTCACTTCCCCTGCACATCAGTCAATATTGCCCCCTTAAAGCACTGGTTGGGATTTTACAGAGCCTCCCTCCTCCAAATACCGCATTGTAACTGGAATCCACTGTATTAATTTACTTGAAGAAAACAAATCCAACTACCGTAGCTGTGCCCTGTACTGTTTGTTTGAGTAAGGTTGCAGGGTAAATATTAGTTCTAAGTTAAGGTCAATCATAAACTTCTCTCTATATAAGACCATTGTTAGTCAAAGATTGATAAGACAGGCAAAACAATGAGAAACACACATTGCAGCTGTGATAAAGGCACACAGTTCATCCTTTTGAAACTGATTTAAGATGGAGCTACACTATTTTAACACTATTGTCAAGATTTGACACATAACTGACCACTTGAGAAACTTGCTGACTCTGCAAAGTTTGCATCTACTGTATTTGAAAGTTACCTGGTATATTTGAATGTTACCTGATTCCATTCTGTGCTAATGCTTTTTAAGTGTCTCCTTCATGTCATCAAACACTTTATAGACACGGAGTCAATAAAGCCAGACTGTGGAGTCCTGCAGCTCAGTGGTTAGAGCACTTGCCTCGCAAGCAAGAGACTTGGGTTTGATTCCCGGCGGGGCGAAACCTGGGGGAAGTTTCGTTACTCCACACGCCTGATAATAATCCCTCAAGAAAAAAAACAATAATAAATTGGTCACTTCAATCCACGACTGTTTGTGGGACACTGCTGTGTGCAATTGGCTGCCAGGTTTCGTCCATAAATATACACTCAATTCACTTCACGGTCTATTCTGTGAAGCACTTTGAGACGTCTAGAAGATGCGAAAAGCGCTATATTACATGCAAGGATTATTATTATTAATGCATATTGAACTCGGCATACTAATCCCTTTTTCATTCGCTCCCAAGAGAAAATTGAATGTGACTGCAATATGGCGGTTAACAAACTTTGTCCCCTTGGCGGGGAGAGATTTTATATTCTTTTGAAAGCAATCGAAGATTTGTTAAGTGCTTATTTTAAAACTGCAAATAAAATCAATTGTCTTTTTTAAAAATAAATTGGATTTTTGTTAAAAGGAGGCTTTTCAGACTGAAACAAAATGTACTCTCTTTTGCAGATTCCCAACTCACTCGTTTTAAATGCACTTCTGGGATTTTTATTATGTCAGTGAATCTCTAGTGAACCGTTTGTCCTTGTCACAGTCTCGGCCCTCGTCCGGTTATTGGCATTTAAAGGTCCATATGATTCAAAAGACGGGAGGTCTTGTATAGCAATTACTCAGTTGTCTTTACTGAACTTTGTTTTAACTGCTCAGCTGCTCATCATGTAATCGGCATCTGTTAAAACATTATTACAGAGTTAATCGGGAGTTTGAACTAATTTGGTCTAAGATGAAACTCAAATGCAGTGTTGGGAGTGGGGAAGTTGGGACATTCTGCTGCATTGTTGGAGGTATTCTCCTTCGGATGAGATGTTAAACTGAGGCCCCGACTGCCCCAGTTCAGGTGGATGTTAAAGATCCTATGGCACTATTCAAAAGGAGAAGGGAGTTTGGTGTCCCAGTCAACGGTCCTCAAAACATTCCCCCACTTAAAACTGAACATTCGCTTCATCACTGTTTGTGGGACATTGCTGTGTGCAAATCGGCTGCTGCGTTCATCCACAAAATACACAGTCACTACAGTTTACAGTTCATCCTATGAAGTGTTTTGAGACATCCTCCAGACATGAAAGGTACTATACCAAATGTAAGGTCTCTTATTATTACAATGTTAATAGCATTTATGCCTATAAAATGCACAGTCACTACACTTTACAGTAAGGCACTAAGAGAAGTGCTCCCAACCTAAAAGATGCTACTTCAGATGCAAAGGTTATTTATTATTTGTAATATTCCTGAGCATTTCGCTGGATTTCATCATTGTTTGAGTAACAGCTTTACAAAACGGCCAGACTTTGCTGTTTATTATGAAACAGATGGATAAATGCTGCAGTTAATCTGCTTTTGTCACTGGTTCATTAGTTGGAAACGCGGTTAATCCGTGACGAGTAAACAGTCTGAATTTGAGAGATTAACCCGAGTCAGTCAGTTGAAGAAATCGTGGAAAAACAATAACAAACCCATTTCGACCTCCAGCTTTTTTGTTGGAAAACAGATAACCCGTTGACCTCATGTTCAGTGGCGAGAGAGGGAGAAAGGTATTCATTGTTTGGTTCCGTAACACATTAACCCAGAGTTCTCATCTGTGTGAATAATTTTCTATTTTAAATGCAGCGTTTGTCAGTTGTTGGATATTTCCTTAATTAAAACTCAGGTTGGTTCAGTCGGTTGCACTAATCACTGGGTCTGAGTTGAATTCCAGGAATTGAGATCATGCACCAGTCTGGCTTAATGGGTAGATTTTTATGCGGGTGAATGCAGCAGATAATTTGCGCACATCAGTGTCCTACGAACAACAGAAGTAAATGAGCAATTTTATCTGGGCAATTGTTGAGCAGGACTCTTAGAGAAACTACAATTTTCATCCAACCGAACAAACGGACGGGACCCGGGTTGAACATTTCATCTCAAAGAGGCTTCCCCGGCATCGCATTGGAATGACAGCCTACACTGTGAACTTGCCCAACATGGGACATGAATCCACACCTTTCTGACTCAGAAGACAAACTGAATATGACGGTTCAAAGATTAAGTGAACACACTCTATATACAGCGCAAGAAAATTGGTGGAGCACTCTTTGTGATATTAATTCACTTAATTATTGTCTAATGGTATGTCCTCCCCACCCATATCAAGCTGCTAAGTGATTCCCACAGCAACACCACAAACACCCACCCCTTTACATTTCAGTGCTGTCACTAACTGCAGGAGGCCTTAGTGTAAGAACATAGTATAAGACCTGAAGGAAGCAAAGTCAAACTAATTCTCTCCTGTCACTGCAACCTGTGGAGTCTCATAGCGTAGTGGTTAACGCGCTCGACTTGCAAGTGAACTGTCCCGAATTCGATTCCTGATAGGAACCCGCTTGTCGGTTAGTTGATTAGCAGATCGCTTTATGAGATTAATCTCTCCCCCTCAAAAGAAATACATTTGGCCACTCAATCCATGACTGTTTGTGGGACACTGCTGAGTGCAATTGACTGCAGCATTTTGCCCACAAAATACACCGTCATTCTACTTAACAATATATTCGGTAAAGACGTCTCAATGACGTGATAAGGCACGGTATCAAATGCAAGGATTATTATTATTATTTTCACCTGTGTTCAATATTTGTTCTTAAATGGAATCCGCTTTGGAACCTGGAATGGTTTAGCGAGTGAAATCAAATAATACAAACCAATGGGGATGATGTTTAGCACAAAAGGAATGTTGTCCACCCTGTTTATTGGTTTCATGTTTTATGGTGTGTCCACATTGCTCTGCCCAACAAAAAAAACTCCAAGGCACGTGCTTGCGTTTATGTCCTTGAGTCACTGGATATCTTGCAAATACCTAAGGGGTCCGTCTTCCACCTCGGTATAATCTTTAACTCCTACAGTGCATTTGGTCTACCTCTCTGACCTCCTCTCTCCTCAAAAGAGCACCCGTTGCCTTCGTTCCTCCGGGTCTGGCCTCCTCCTCGTCCCCCGAGTCCTTCGCTCCACCCTCGGCGGCCGTGCCTTCAGCCACTATGCCCCGAGGCTCTGGAACTGCCTTCCTCACTCCCTTCGTCTCGCTCCCACCCTCCCCATTTTCAGGTCTCTGCTGAAGACCTTTCTTTTCAACCGCACCTTTGGTCACCTTCCCCCCCTTCCCCCCGGCTCGGTCCTGGAATCCGTTACTGGAAAGCTCTCTGAGACGCCGTCCGGCGTGGAGGGGGCTATATAAATCCAAGTTGTTGTTGATCTCCAGCGATTAATGTAAAACTGTAACACTGATGGCTGTAAACCAACTTCGGTGGAGTTTAATTCATTTAAATGCAAGTTCAGTAATTCCCAAATCAGGACCTGATAGATTTAACCAGTTAGAAATCAGCTTAAGCTTTAATGTATTATCAGTTAGTGTGATTCTTGAGACATCGTGTATAAAAAAAGGAGGGTTTTAAGCCTGTTTTCTTACACTGCTCCAGTTGCTGGGAGGGGAGGCAAGGAGTTAATGTAAATCAACGTAAATATGTATGGAATGGATTTGCGTGGATGGAGTACATCATTCTACTTCAAGAGATAATATAATCCTTCCATTTGATACAGCGCGTTACCATGTCATTGAGACGTCTTGGAGCGCATTACTGGGTTTACTGTAAAGTGTATTTTGTAGGTGACCCTTCACAATTGGGCAACTGCTACAATAATTGTGTAAGATTAACAGCATATCAGAACAAAACTGCAAGGTCAGGTTTAACATTCCAGAGGTAGTTATGTTTCTAGCCAGAAGGGCAGGGCTTAGGTGAATTGGATTTCAAGGAATGCCTTAAAACCAGAAAAGAAGACATTGAGGTTTTAGTTGAGATCCATAAATCTTTCACTTCTGCAACTGGAAAAGTGTATCACCTGCAAATAAAATAATGTGCTTCTGTGACAAGGTAATGAAGGAAAGTACTGTTAATGTCATAATGACTGATCTTTTAAGATCAGTAATGTCGTGCATTACATGATTGATTTGGGTTGTGGGCCACAGAGCTCACAAGAAGGTAATGTATATTGTAGCCTTTCCCCAGTTTAAAAAGAAAACTAATGGATGTGTTGTCAGTGATTTCAGAAGATTTAATGTTATCTTCATGGTCGGGCCACGCTTTAAACGTATTTGAGTTTGATAGTAGTTGACCTGTTTTTGTGCTCTATAGCAACTCCCAAATAACCATTATTCTCTTATGTGACTGGTATTTTGCCGAGGGGCCAGGCTGATCGTCAGTGTAAAACCATAGCCACTGTGAGAATTCACACACAGTACAGAGTGCTGTGGCCCAGTTAGAAAACAATGCAGCCTATAGTATCACAGCTCGAAGTAGATGAGTGGAATGATGAAGGAGTTGACAGCTTAAGCTTTCCAATTGGAATGGCTGTGTTTGCTGGAGCATCACTGGCGAAGGGTAACACAAGCACATTAACTCCCTCCCCAGCTCTCCAAACCACATCAGCCTCTGTTCTAAACATTGAGCTAAAGCAATCATTCCACCAGGTCCTAGAGAAACATCCTTTTTTTTAAAAACTGAACCACAGCTTTGCGCGATCGATTACGGTTTCCTTTAATAGCACTTTATTTTATTATTTTAATCAAATAAAACAAAGCATTAAATAGATATTTATATATGCACTTTGAGACGTCTGAAAGACATGATAAAGCACTATAACAAATGCAAGGATTACTTTAAAATTTGCAGGTTAATTCACTTTTGAAAGGCTGAGCCTTCAATCACTACACCATAACCTTTGGATCTCCCTGCTTCTACCTCTCAGCCTCGCCCTTTCTATCAGTCTTTAAATCCCACATAAAATCTATCTTTTCGACCACACCTATGCTCACCTCTCCCTTCCACTTGCAACTTGGCTCCCATCCAAGCTGCCAATCAGCCTCTCTGCCCCCACACTCTGGAACTCCGTCCCACAGTCCCTTCGCCTCGCTTCCTCCCTCGCCTCCTTCAAAGCCGGTCTCAAGACCCTTCTCTTTGATCGTGGCTTTGGTCGCGCTCTCTGCCTTCCTTCACCCCTACACCATCCTCCACCATGCTCGGGCCCCGAGACCTGACTGTTTAGCGCTTTGGGACGTCCTCCCAATGTGAAAGATGCTCTATAAATGTCGTTTTGTTGTTGTTGAAGTGCTCTGAGACATCATCCAATGTGAACAGTGCTGTTTAAATGCAAGTTGCCGATGAATACACAGAGGCAAGACACAAGCAATTTTCAATCTTTTACACATATTTTACAATGTAAAACATCTCATTTCTGACAAAGTCAGACTGCTCTGTATTAGAAGGTGCTGCAAGAAACAATAATTAATATATACATTAAGTTATTACAATTTTTTTTACAGCGATACAAGGATAATAGCATCCTCAAAGTAATTACAAGAAATCTGATGAATGCAAAGCTAAAATTCATTATAACCATTATGATCTGATCTCAGACTCAATGTTTAGCCTTCAAATCACTCTCGATTTTTATATAGATTTAAAATCCAAACTCTCAACTTCAGGGGTGGTAATTTATCTCCTTTCAACCAACGCAATGCAATCTTTCCAATAACATGTTTAGGCAGGAAGGGAGTTGTAATCAAATCCATTGCAAGTCTGGAGGGAGGGAGCATTGAAGAAATTGCACCCATCCTCCCTTGAGACCCTGGATGAAAATGTGTTGATATATCTGCTATAACCATATTGGCTCAAAGAGCCAAGTCGCTGGAGGGTAGAATGTGAGTGAGCAAGAAAGGAATAAATCTTCTAAATCTGAGTTAAAAAAACTCTGGTAATGAAGCTCCAGTTGGTGGTGGGAGAGGATGGGTTGAAAGAATGTAAGCGTGTGTGTACATGTGTTGCTCTCTCTCCTCTGCAGTTATCAATTATAACATCACCAATGTGTGAAACATTCATTTCAAATCGACTAATTAGAAAAGGGAGTTTCTCTGTCTCAGTGTCCTGGCCAACATTCCCCCGGATAAAGTTGGTCACTCACTTCATGGCTGTTCATGGGACACTGCTGTGTACAATTGACTGCTGTGTTTCACCCACAAAATATACAGTCAACTCACTTTACAGTTTATTGCGTGATGAAGTGCTTTGAGACATCTCAATGATGTAATGTTATATCAAATGAAAGAATTATTATTATTTTTGTGTACAACTTGGCTGCTGTGCTCCTACAAAGATGCACAGTCACTACACTTTACAGCACCTCCCGTGAAGCGCTTTGAGACATCCACCCAGCAAGAAAGGTGCTATATAATATGTGAGGATGATTATTATTATGTCAGGGGAGCCCTCTGATCGGTATCAGTGACTGGGTTAGTTAATTTTTTCCCCTGACTGTACTGTGTTCTCAGCAGCAGGTCTGCCAGTTAGGAATTCAACTTGGTCTATAGGAAAATAGAAATAGATCTAATCATTCAAGATCTCTGTAGTTTAAAATATGCTGTTGTTCAGCACTGGGTTTCTAGGGCTCATTCGCATCGATTGATATTTTACCATTAAATGGGATAGTCTGTCGTTAACATGCAATAATATAGGTAATGGTCAATGAAGGAAAAGATCTTAAATTATGAAGTAAGATTGTTCGATTGCGGTTGCTAAGTTGAATGCAGGATCTTTGAATCATAGAAATTTACAGCGTAGAAGGATGCCATTCGGCCCATGTAATACATACTCTCAAGCTCACTGCCCTGTCCCCATATCCTACCCTTTAAGCTTCTCACTTGCATGTACCTGTCTACTTCCCTCTTGAAACCCACAATGGACTGACGCTACCACATTCCCTGGCAGGGCATTCCACGTCCCAACAACTCTCTGCGTCAGTGCTAATAAAGGAAAATATTATCCAACAAGTGGTCTTAGAAGCAGAATTGAAAGAGCTTTGCCTGGATAATGGTGTGTGTTGAGAGCGGAGGACCAGCAAGAAAATTAGAAACCCGAACAATCATAAATAAATATCTTTGAGCAAAAAGTGCAAGAGTTAACAAGAAGGAATTTTTGAAAAGATAAAATCCTAATGCAGTAATTGTCACGATGAACATAAAGTGAGAGAGAATCGGTCATTGTATTTGTGTGGGTGGGGGGAGAATCATAGAATTATGCAGCACAGAAGGAGGCCATTCGGGTCATTGAAGGGTACCGGCTCTTTGAAAAGAGCTAACCAAATCAATCCCACTCCCCCCGCGCTCTCCCCATAGCCCTGCAAACTTGTCCCCCCCCAAATAATTATCTACTTCTCTCTTAAAAGTTGTTATCGAATCGGCAAGAGGAAAAACAAGCAGAGACACACGTACAGATCGCATCACGTGGGGGAATCTCAATGAGGTTTTGTGGCGCCATAAAAGCAGACTTGCTTGTCATTGCGATTCACATCTATCCACAGGAGTGATTTTCATTTAAAAATGTTTTAAGCGAAAACAACTCTGGACTCCAAAGCATCAAGTTCCATTAGAAACCCCAATTCATTGCACCTCCTTCAGGTGCAATCGATACCTGAATATATTTGTTAATATCTGCTGGTAAAACAGGTTTGGCATTACTATTTTATTTTAAGCTCGGAAAATCTCATGACCTGCAATCTCAATATCAGGATGGTCCAACCTTTTGCTACTGAGGGCCGGATGCCTTATTTAAGATATGTCCGCGGGCCACATAAACAATATTTTTGTGTTTCCCTTCCAGAAACATGTAGCTTGTGGACATGGAGTCCTGTAAGCTCAGTGGTTAGAGCACTCGCCTCACAAGCAAGAGATCTGGGTTCGATTCCCGGCAGGTCGAAACCTTGGGCAAGTTCACACGCCTGATAATAATTCTTCACGAAAAAAAANTGATAATTTGGTCTCTTCAATCCACGACTGTTTGTGGGACGCTGCTGTGTTTCACCCACAAATATACAGTCAATTCACATTACAGTCTATTCTATATCATAACATTTAAGGTTTATGGAGGGAGCGGGTGGGCCAGATGAGATAGAGGGGGGGAGGGAAATAAACCGGCCCGCGGGCCACATCCAGTTGGACCACCTTGTTCTACATTATAACAGATTCTAGTGGTTTATTTTTCTTTGAAACAAAATGAAAGGGAATCAGGACTCAAGGCTGTTCTGGAGACATTCTAGTTGATCCTCAGTGAGTTTGAGGTGCTCATCCAGATCTCTTTGCTCGATTAGTAAGATTTTTGTCGTCTGAATAAATTGCTGAGAGTCTTGGAGCTGGGTCTCAGTGAGGTAGTTGGACAGGATATTGAAGGTCATTCGCTCCCTGTGATCTTGATGCTCCTTCAGTCCCCTGGCATCTTCATGTTGACCAGACAGCGTGTGGTGCCTTTCATTCAGCGATTTCTATACAAAAAATGAACACACAACTTACACTCAATTGCATTGCAATAAAATATACACATCAAGTTCAACCCAGTATTTCACCCACAAAAATTACAGTCAATTCACTTTACAGTATATTCCGTGAAGCACTTTGAGATGTCTCAATAACCTGATAAGGCGCTATATCAATTCAAGGATTACTATTTTTCTGTAGAGGCTGAAATGCTTTTCCTTCTCTTTAAAAAGAAAACTCTGGCTAACTGCAGGTAGTCAACCGATGAAATCACTGTGTGATGTCAACACAGCTCCACGTCAACACTTTGAATCAGTGTGAAGTGACACTCCAGTGCAGTGCTGAGGGTGTGCTACATTGTTCGAAGCACCGTCCTTCGAATGAACATTACACCGAGGTCCCAGCTTCTTGTTCAGGTGGACTTAAAGATACCATGTTGTGAGTTGAAAAGAGAAGAGGGTTTCTCCTGGTGTCCTGACCCTCAGTCCCCCAGATAAAAATTGGTTATTCACATCATGGCTGCTGGTCGGACATTGTTTTGTGTAAACTGGTTGCTGCGATGCCTACAAATACACTTTATTAATACACTTGACAGTAAAATCCTGCAAAGCACTTCAAGACGTTTGGACGATTTGATAAGGCACTATAGTAAATGCAAGCAATATTGTTCTAATATAGTTACAAACCTTCTCCTCTGAATCAGTGGCCTCGTTGACTTTATTCAGAGCATTCTCCACTCGTGCCAACCGGCTCGACAGGCTCAAGAGCAGGTTCAGTACTTTGTCCAGATCTTTAATGAAGGTCTTGTATTTCTGCACCTCATGAGGTTTGCAGGTACCTTCGACCCAGGCCTCAATATTTTCACCGAGCAGATCGTTGGCTCTGATGTCCGCAGTTAACGCTACCTTCCTTTCCTGAAGCTTCTGAAGTTTACAATTAATTGCGTCAATTAACTCTCGCTGTGAAAGAAAGGAAAATATGTATCAGCTCCTCAACATTGAATTGCAAATCAGTATCTGGACATCCTTTCAAAATGACATTATATTAATTATAACATTATTATACAGTCAGACTTGTGTAAGCAGGATGTACACTTTCTCCCTCCAGGGAGAGTGCGCATTCATAACATAACATGTAGGAGCAGGAGTAGGCCATTCGGCCCTTCGAGCCTGCCCCGCCATTCAATCATGGCTGATCTTCTAATCCAACTCCAGCTAATAACCTGACCCTGCCTTATCCCCATATCCCTTAATACCTTTTGCAATAAGAAATCTATCTCAGTCTTGAATATGTTCAAGGACTGAGCGTCAACAGCCTTTTGGGGTAGTAAGTTCCATACATTCACCGCCCTTTGAGTGAAAAAGTTCTTCCTCAACTCAGTGCGAAAGGGCTGCCTCTGATTTTAAGGTTGTGACCCCTGGGTTTAGTTTCTCCAACCGGGGAAACAATCTCCCACTATCTACTCTATCATGGCCTTTGATGATCTTATAGGTTTCTAATTCTTCTATATTCTAGAGAATATAGGCCCAAATTGATCAGCCTATCCTCATAACTCATCCCCTTCATCCCTGGTACTAACCGAGTAAATCTACACTGCACCCCCTCCAAGGCAAGTACGTCCTTCCTTAAATAAGGAGACCAAAACTGCACACAGTATTCCAGGTGTGGTCTCACCAGGGCCCTATACAGTTAGAGCAAGACTTGCCTACTCTTATACTCTAATCCTTTCATAACGAATGCTAACATACCGTTCACCTTCCTAATTGCTGCTGCACCTGCAGACTAACTTTCTGTGATTGGTGTACAAGGACACCCAAGTCCCTCTGGACGCTAACACATTCCAATCTCTCCCCTTCTAAAAAAATAACCCGCTCTACTGTTTTTGCTCCCTCGGTGGATGACTTCGCACTTCCCTACATTATACTTCATCTGCCACCTACCTGCCCAATCACCTCACCTATCTATGTCGCACAGCAATTTTTTAATGTCATCCTCTGTGTTGACACTTCCTCCTGGTTTTCTGTCATCCGCGAATTTAGATATATTAACTTTGATGTCCATTCCAACAAACTATCTCTGGGATTTCCATGTGTAGGTGGGATGTCTGGAATTCTCAGTTTGGTTTGGAGACTCTTAAGTACGGTGATGGGTTTCCGCAGGTGCCACCTGGCCGACCAAAACAAAAACCTTTAAGGACTTACCTTCTTCTCTGCTATATCGCTTGGACGACCCATTTTATCCTCAACACTTTTCCGCATCTGATTATTTGTCCCTGCTGTTGGCGATGATAATTGAGTGTCTCGTTTGTCTCTGACGGGAAGAAACGAACAGGAAGGAGCAGCTTTAATTAATGCTCCAGTAGGCAGCATTAACACTAGTGAACCAAACTGGGTGAATTCAGATAATGCGATCTTATAGCAAGCAATCAAACATTTCAAATACATCTGCAGATGGTGCTATGGTCAACATGCTCGCCTTTCACCTCTTCCAGTGCCTTGGAAAGTCCTCCTGACGCGAAAGGCGCTATACAAATGTAATTTTGTTGCTGTTATTGTTTTAACCTGGGTTGACCTTGAGCTTAGACTGATGGAAAGTCTCCTATCTGGTGAAGGGCTTGGAGTCATTTCATTTCAATTCCTAGAGGCACGAGTCCACAGTATGAAATAATGTGACACAAACTGCCACCAAGCTTCGCATTGCACTAAGAGGCATTGTAAACCTGGAATGGGCACATTTCAGAGCACTTTTCTAGCCAATGATCCATAGGGTAACTTTGACATGTCTGCTTGCACTTCATTCAGCCTTGTTCACTGGAACAGGAGAGCACAAACTGGAGCTGCTGGTATGAAAAAATAAAAAATAATTTGGTCCCTCAATCTACGGCTGTTTGTAGGACACTGCTGTGTGCAATTGGTTGCTGTGTTTCGCCCACAAAATATACAGTCAATTTATTTTACAGTATGTTCTGTGAAGCGCTTTGAGACGTCTCGAAGATGTGATAAGACACTGTATCAAGTGCAAGGATTATTATTGTTGTCAACTCAGCATCACTCGCTGAGCTTGGACAATCTCAATGCTCCTGATTGTTATGCCAACGCATGCTTTCAAGGGATAGTTCATTATCATTTAGGAGCGAGCTCAGTCAGACTGCCTACCTGTTCTCCTGGGTCGCCATTTCCTTTCTCTCCACGTTCATTTTCTTTCTCATCTGACAAGCATCAAGCACCCAGGTGTCTGTTCGAAACAACCCTTCCACAAGATCCATTGTAGTTCTCTTGGTAGAGCTGGGATCCAGCACGTCAGCCAGAGACTGGTCCTGATCCAGAACTTCCTTCATAAGGCTCTCTATTAGCAGGTCCTCAGGTGTCTTCACCCTCAGTGACAGAGACACCTCATCTTGGCCCTCTGCATGTGGCTCAGAGTTTGCTTTGGTCTCACCTTCCTGGTGTCCTACTGCTGTGACGCTCTGACTCTCACCAGATCTCGTTTGCTCCACAGAGATTAGTGCAATTTCTTCAAGATTTGTGACTGGACACTTCAGTTTAGCCACTGTCTCTGTCGTTGTTTGCTCCTCTTCACGATTGTCTTTGAGACACGTCAGATTATAGTCATTTCTCGTTGGTGAAATATTTCCACTGAAAGAGAAAAATGGATGTATCTATCAGCTACTGTTGATGTAAATACTCAGAAAGGTGCCATATAAATGCTCATTTTCTCCCTCCTCCTCTTATTGTTAAAATCCTACATCTGATTACTTACAGTAGAGCAGACTGAACCTCAATATACTGCACTGCCCTCCCTCTCCAGTACCTCGACTAGTTGGGGTGAAGTTTGTGAGTTTTTTTATTATTATATTTAAGTAGTCCTTGTGTAAAATCATGGGCAGGTTGAGACCACTAGGTGGCAATACAACCCTCACATTCAGGCAGATTTTCATCACGAAATTCACTTTTTTTTACTCAAAACATAATAAGAAATTGGTTCACTTGATCCATGACTGTTTGTGGGACACTGCTGTGCGCAATTGGCTGCTGCGTTTCGCCCACAAAATATACTTTAAATTCAATTTACAGTCTATTCCGTGAAGCGCTTTGAGACGTCTCAAAGATGTGATAAACTATAGTAAATGCAAGTATTATATTGTAACATTAGGATCAAAAATTAAATGCTGTGGTGTGTCAGAGGAAAATGATTCATAAGGAAAGGGCAGAATTTATTAAACTAAAAAGGTCCTCTTGCTTTTACCTGGTTATTTTCTCTGTGATCTTGAGTTTGTTCTCCATCGGTATTTCAGTGGGTAAGGAATCAAATGTTCTGGACACATGCAATTTGGTGAGGTTAGATCTAGGAGAAGCATTTTCAGAAGCTGGGGAAAGATTAATGTCAACTGTTTCTGATTTTGTGTAGGAATCCTCATAAAACACATGGTCTTCCTGGGATGGGGTTCTCCAGGGTGGGAATGGCATAGAGAGAAGTGGAGAGGGGGTTTTAGGAGAAGATTCTGGACTGGAATACGGGTTGTGTATCTTGGACACATTATAACATCTCTCAACCGTGTAGCCTGGCTCTGCAGATGAAACAGGGTCAAGTCCTGATCCGGGCTCATTGATGTTTTCTGCCTTTGTTTTATTCCAGTTTAGCTGAGAAGAGGGAGGTCTTGCCGGAGCTCGGGGTAAGTTTTTCCTTTGCAGCTCTGTGCTGTCCCATTTCATATGTTCTCTGTTGGGTCTCCTTTGGAATCCATAAACGCCAGTTTCTGATGCTAGCCCATTGGTTTGCCTGTTACCTTTCACCGAACGGTGGAGTTGATCAGAACTTCTGCTAAACACAATGGGACGTTCCTCTACAGGAGTCTCCAATTCATCCAAAGACTTTACTCTCTGCCTTTCATACGCCCTTTTCCTGAGCTCCCTGTCATGGTGGATGCTTTCATAGTCTATTGGATAACAAACAAATTCTGGCGTAGGATTTATTTCGGGAATATGGGACCTGAAACAAGAAATATTCCAAAGTTAATTTAAGTGAATTGAAACCACAAGCTCACAAATTAATGCAAAATTATACAAGCCTTAAATAAGAGTTTAAGCTTTCGTAGAATATGTACGTTGGCTTTACCTTTCATATCTGAAAGCCTTTTGTCTGCCTTGCCCCCAATTCCTTTAGTGAGAGCTCAGATTCCCGATCAGGATAACAACTTTAAAAAGTCCCATCGTCATAAAAAAAAGTGTACTTTTTCTTTATTGCCTGAGCCCAATTAAAAGCCATGACATGTGCTTGCTTTTGAATGAGAGAAATTCACTTTGTTGTACGTTTTTCTACTGATGCTACATTCAGTGAGAAATGTTAGACAAAAAAAAAAGACCAAGGTCTATCTAGTTTGCCTTCCACCTTCCTGGCGGTCGCATGCATATATGTCCCGAACTACCCATGTACTATATCCCACAATGTTACTTCCTAAAAGAAAACTAATTTGTGTTTGAAGGAATCAACACTTCCGGCTTTAACCGTCTCCCACAGGTTCACTATTTGCTCACTAAAATAGTGTTTCCGTAGATTCGTTCTGAATTTACTCCCCTTCAATCGCAACTTACCCTCTTTCAATCACGTTTGGGTCTATGGATCCAAACACCTGCTTAATGTGGAGAGTTGATGGGGAGGGAAGGAGGAGGACATGGCCTATATTGTGGCATAGAATCTGATTGACACAAACCTTGGCCAAGTTAGCGGAGAGGTTTGTGTTGAGATAGTGATGGAGATGCAGTGCCCCTCAGTGGCGGATGTGTGAGATTCTCTGGCACCAAATATTAAACCCGGTGAATGCAAGCAGAGTCAGGTCAGGGAGTGTGTGAAACTGTTCTTTCCAGAAGCTCCAGAGATTCCCCTTTCTGCTAGAAAATAGAGATGGACCTCCTCACTCTTTCCTCCATTCGGAGTGAAAAGTATAAATCCAGTACATTCCTGATAACTCCTCACTCCAGGAGAAAATAAAAGGGCTCAGTGAGGAGTTATCTGGAATTGGTGAGTCAGGCGTATGCATAAATGCATAAATAAACGTGGCCTGGATACTGGCAGCACGATGGCTTACGTGGTAGTGATAAAAGTAAGTCAGGGTCGAGTTATCCAAAGTTTAGTGTATTAGAAACATTCCGAGAATGAGTAAAAGCATTCAGGGTCAGGGGGTAATCCAGAAAAAAAGCTGCTGTGATACTTTGTGTCAGGATATCATGCACAAGCGATGCAGTGTCATTTCAGCGACGTTCTCCGACACTTTTCAGCGCAGTAACAAACGCCAGGCCGAGCTTGTAACTTTCCAAGGATGACATTGCCCTTTCGAAATAATTGGCCAACGCCCTTCTGCTGAGAATTGGGTGGGGTAGAATTGAGTCTGAACTCTGACTCATTGTCGTGAGGTTTATATCCTCTGGGTGGGGGGGTAAGCAAGGTCTCCTTGGAGCTGAATTGGCTCAAAGGTGACATGCCTTGGCCTGGCAATGGAATGTCGGAATCAAGCCAACCCTCCGTGGCGGTCTCAGAAGTCCGGGTCCTGAGCCAGGCAGGTCTGCAGTATTCCAGGGCACTGCTGATGACAGCGCAGCCCAGCCTGGCTCATCAGCAGGACCTGGAAGGCCAGACCAGTCACTGGGAGTCATCCCACTCAGCTCCTGTTAACCCTGCAAGCCAAAGCCCTAAAGGTGGTCTTAGCTGGACAAGCAGCAGGAATGCTTGCCAGACAGCGCTATCAATGGCTAGCTAAGGGGTTTTAGCTGGTTAGACTCCAGCAGTTACCCCAACACACACTCTCGGGTCCCCAAGCCTTGGCTCTTGCTCACCTGCGCTTAATACTTTCCAGAATTAGGTAAGCAGGATGCATCCCTCCAGGGAGCGAGTGTGCATTCCATTCCAACAATTTATCACTGGAATTTCTATGTGTAGATGGGATGCATGGAAATCTTAGCTTGGTTTGGATACTCCTAAGCACGGTGATGAGTGTCAGACAGCCGGCTGACCAAAAAATATATATATTTTTTAAAAATTGGATTTGACTATACCTTTTCTACAGTGACTAACAGGTTCTTGTCCATCCACCGTAAACAGTGCTGCTTTATTTAATAATTATTAATCAGAGGCATTGATTAGACATAAAATGATTAAACTCTTTTTCCCTTTCTAGACAAAACAAAATATATTTGCAGCTAAACACGCATTTCACAAATATATTGAGGTCCAGCGATGTTCCATAATAAACATTACAGATGGATTTTTTAAGCATTGCTATTGCTAACTATGGGCATTTTGAAAAACAGAACTCCTTCATAAGAACTTAGTGCTTTTCCACAAAACTAATTGCGAGACGAAGGAAGACCGAGGTCCATTCAGTTCACGTTCCACTGTCCTGGCAGTCACAAGCATGTGTCATGTCCCAAATTATATACTGTATTCTGAGATATTATTTCCTAACAGAAATCTAATTTGTTCTTGAAAGAATCAACACTTTGCACTTCCATCTTCCTAGGAAGCTTGTTCCATAACAAGGTGGGACTTGTCAAATCATGTAGTTTTCTGTCACTGACCTGGAAGAGACACTGTCCCAGTTACCCGTCCGACTTGACAATGAGGCTTGTGAACTTGGCCCAGTTAATAGATCCCTTTGAATGTTCTGTAACAGATAAAACAAAGAATTTCCACACACAGTTACAACAAGCAACATAGACTGAATAGCTTCTTTCTATACGGTCATTTCTATTGAGCCTATGTTGGTGCTCGTTCATAAAACTAATTGTCTTTCTTTCCCTCCAGTTTGACTTTGAGTGTCAGCCTGGCTCAGTGATAGAACTCTCTCCTCCGAGTCAGAAGGTTGTGGGTTCAAGCCCACATCAGGACTTGAACTCACATAGTCTCAGTTGACACGCCAATGCAGTTTTGGGGGTGTGATATATTGTCGAAGATGCCATCCTTCAGATGAGACATTAAACCAAGGTCTCAACTGCCTGCTTAGGTGGATGTTAAAGATTCCATGGTACCATTCGAAAAGAGAAGTGAGTTTCTTCTGGTGTCCTGGCCAATAATCCCTCAAATAAAGTTGGTCCATAGTTGTTTGTAGAACATTGCTAAATATCCTGTGAAGTACTTTGGGATGTCCTCTCGATGTGAAGAACAGTATACGAAATGCAAGGATTATTACTATACATTTGAATGTTTTTCATTACCTTAGCCTCTCTAACCACACACCAACCCTGCTCTGTTGCCTTCAACTGCAGCTTTTATGCACCACCGACCTGGAAATCTACTAGAGTCTGCCTGGAGGACTCCCATCTCTGAGTTTCTCTCTCACAATACTGGGGATAGGGGGAGGTCAATGCAATGTCCAGCCTATTGGCTAGCCTCCCCCTTGCCCTCCACATGAAATACTGTGGTTGAGATTACAGATGGAGTGGACAATTGTGATACTAGATCAAACCATTTACTTACTTGCCCCATCCTTCCCCATCTTCAGGTCAAGCCTGAAGAACTTCCTCTTTGATCGTGCCTACGGTCACCTCCCCCCACCCCAGCCCCTAAGTTCGGCGCCATGCTTTGCCACTGTCAAGCGCTCTGGGACGCTACCCTGCACGAGGGGGTGCTATATAAATGCAAGTTGTTGATATTTACAGAAAGGCCCACAGGTTGTTTCACCCAAACCACATGTACCTGTGGAAGCAGAGGAGAAGACTTGGATCTCGCACGGTCACTGAACTGAGCGAATGCTAGTTGGTCCAGAAGATCTTCAGCAGATGCACACTTGCTGGAGGTCCTGCTATCTGCCTGCGTGTGCAACTGTCGAGCAACTGGTTCCTGTTTTAAGGAATACACAGCGGACACATTACTGTAGCCTTGATGGTTCATAGAGTAATTCGGTCGTAATTCCCATAGAATCTCTGCAGACTTGTGTCTGGATATCTTCGGCTCTTCGTCAGAGCCAGGAAACGGGTTGCAATTCCAATCGGAAATGTTTCTCGGTGGAACAGGTTTCGCTCTTTGCTTCTCGGGAAATACAAGGTCTCTGCCGGCAGGTTTCTGGCCTTTCTTGCGTTCCATGTACTCGGCTAACACGTCCTGCCGAATCTGGGTCTTTCCCTCCTTGGAGAGGTTCAACGTCGAGGAAGCCTTGTCACTTTCAAACGTGTGTTTCCTCGCCCCCACAAAACTGAGGTCTCGGTGCGGATCTGGACAGTTGATGGTTTTCCCCTGTTCCCACATGAGAGAGAACTTCCTCTGACTGTTCGACACACCCAACTGGTTTATTTTCTCGGGCTCTGAATAGCACATTTTCTTCTGCATTGCGGTCAATCTTTTCCTCCCCCCGATGCGTGCGATCTGGTGCTGGGACAGCAAGGACCTGGCGTCCTGTAACTCGTACAGTGCCTGTGGTGACATGACTGTTGGATCACCGAGGCCTTGGTTTGAGCTGGACAGAGAGTACGTTCGGAGATGTGCGATGGTTGGTCTCTCCACGGACTTCTGCTTCATTCGGTTCGGCCAGCTGAATTGGAGGTCCTTGCGTTTGAAAGAGGTCTGCAGGAGGACCTTAGTCTGTGCGTCCTTGATTTTGTTTCTATAATCCTTCTTGGAACAATTGATTAACGAGCCCACGGGGTCTGGAGATTCTTCATTTGGCGCAAAGACGTGATCTTCATCGAAGAGTTGAGTGGAACTCCTTGCTCTTCGTAACTGCGACATATCGTGCTCGATCCCGCTGTGCAGGTTGGCAGCCAAGATATAGTTTCTTTCCACCTCCTTAGGTAGTCCCTTTGCTGGGTCAGAGGCCTGCCATTTATTCTTAGAATTGACCGCTATGTTCTTCGCCATTTGCTTGCTTTCGGAGGTAAGGCAGTGTAGCAATGGAGTGTTTTCCGCACTGATTGCATACTCTTTCGCTATATCTTGCCACCCAGGCCTCGGAGAGGGGTCCTCTGGGACAATGTAGGAGCTCTTTGCACTCGCATACGGATTCGATTGAGAAGCTCTGCTCTCTGTGTTATAGCCGGACGTACTATTGCTTGCTCGTCTTTCATTCAAATACTTGTTTCGCTTCGTTGCTTGGGCAGCGTCCAGCACCGAAGAAGCTGGTCTGGGGGTGTGGACATTTTCATCCGGGCCAGAGTAGAACACATGGCTGCCTGTGCAGCCTCTGCTATTAAATCCTGGTTCTCTTGTTTGGGTCTCAATGATCAAAGGCGGTGAATCCACACTCGGCAAATGAACTGACGAAAGTCTAGCAGCACCTTTGGTGCCCAAAGACCCCAGTCTATCGTTACAATTTCTATCCAGCTGGGGCTTATAATCCGTCTTGTGCTGGTGTGACATTTTCTCTGTAACATTTTCTGAGCTCTTTGCTCGAGTAAAGGTGGGTTCTTTCGGCCTGTACTCCCCGCCAGATGTCTGCACATCTGTACTAGTGACACAAAAATACGGCACTGCTTTCTGAACCCCATCATTAACACTATCAAGCGTTCGTATGGGGGGCAGCTCAAAGTCCTGTGGGCTGGGTTTCTGAAGCAATTTGTTTCCATGAGCCTGCGAAGCAATGTAGGCCTGTTTCTGTGATTCCGAACAGTTGGCGGGAACATTAGAACCACGAGGGTGAAAGGAAGTGTACGGCTTAGCTGAATCGTTCTGGAGTGCTTTGTCACTCCTCGCGGAAGTATACGCTTCTGTGCTTTCCGTCAAGTTGTGTCTTCTCGATGCCCTTCAAAACAAACAAATAAATAAGTAAATAATAGTAATTTGGTCACTCAATCCACGACGGTTTGTGGGACACTTTTGTGTCACCCCCAAAATACGCGGTCAATCCACTTTACATATAGTCCTTGAAGACGTTTCAACAACGTGATAAGGCGCTGTATTAAATGCAAGGATTATTATCATTATTATAAGATCAGGGGTTGAAGAGTACCTCATCCACAGAGGCTGCCAATAGCTTTGCCATCTCTCAGACGGTCTGTTGGATTTCTTTACAGGTTGCTGATCACATTTAAACGTCTTTGTCCCTGTTGGCTGCCTCTCGACCACATTGGGTCCGTACTGCTCCTCAATGTTGGTGCAGTTGATGAGGCATTCATGTTGCCTTGTAGCTAGGAAGCTATCACGACGGGTTGGAAGTGGAGGTGGTTCTGATCGACGATAAGGGCTATCATGTTGAACACTACTGTAGTTCTTCATTGACTGGCACACAGCTCTCTCTTCAGTGCCCATGGCATCAGCATCACAGCCTATCCGTGTAGCCTTTACCCCAGGCTGTTTCAGTGCTTCCGACCCCTGGTAGAACACTTTCTCTGAAGGGCCAGCACTCTCATGCACGTGAGCTGAAGACAGGTATTCTGGAGCATTGGAAGAGTTGGAGAATGAGCTGTAACCAGAGTCCCCTTTACCACGACAGTGACTGAACGGATCCTTCAAACCGGTGAACCTGATCGGAGAGAGACGACTTGCGGAGGAAGCAGTTGGCGTTTGATGCGAGCTGTCCATGCTTCATTTTGGGCTCCGTCAGCTGATCATCTTTCAAGGTTTCAAGTGCTAACAGCTTGTCCAGGGCAAGGCAGTTCCTGAAAGTGAATGGTAATAATAATATTACGATTTACAGTTCAAAGCATTTTATGATAAAATATAATAATCATTGCATTTCATATAGCACCTTATCACAGCCTTGAGACATCTCAAAGATCTTCACAGTATACACTGACAGAGTTAACCCACTTTCCTCTCTCCATAGATGCTGCCTGACCAACTGATTGTTCTCAGCGACTTCTCTGCTTTTAATGCTGCAAATTGAATTGACTGTATATTATGAGCGAAACACGACAGCCAATTGCCCACAGCAGTGTTCCACAAACAGTCGTGTATTGAGTGACCAAAGTATTGATTTATTGAAGGGATTATCACTGATGAAAGCAATCCACCAAATGATTAACAGCCGGGTTCCTACTTGCAGCTAGCTAAACAGAGACCGGTGGAGTAAGGAAACTTGCCTGAGGTTTCACCCTAACTGGAAATCAAACCCAGGTTCTTTCACTTGCAAGCCACAATGCTCTAACCACAATGCCACGGGACATTACTCATGTTGCCACTGGTGACTTTCTCTGGCAAGCAATTCTACAAAGACCCCAAAGAGCTTTAATACCTTTTACAATGCAATATCACACTGAGTGCCAACACGCTGTGTTAATGTGCTGTAGATCCCCAAGTCCACACCCAGGATTCCCACAGCAAGTTGCAGTGCTCAGCCACACTCCTGGGGGAGTAGACTGGATGCTGTTGGCATTGGAGAGAGAGATTGAGAGATGTGTACAAAGAAACCCTGACTTGGACCCTAAACCTGCTCACGGGTGTTGAAGGAGGCAAGGGAAGGCGCAAGGTGGAGGTGCTCCAGGATGGAGGGAGAAGTTAAAACGGGGAGGAAGAAATAATAACTCTAAATTACATGAAATTTATTTAAAGAATAGCTAATGGTGTTTTGAAACGTCCAAGTCTGCCTTACTCTTGACTTGCATTATAATAATAATAATCCTTGCATTTGATACAGCACCTTATCAGGTCTTCGAGACGTCTCAAAGAGCTTCACAGGATATGCTGTAAAGTGTTGCGACTGTGTTTTGTGGGCGAAATGCGGCAGCCAACTACTCCATCAATACAATTCAATCGCTGAGCTTTCTCTTCAGACAAGTCACTCAATGGAAGGAAAGAATTCAGGGGATTTGGTGTGGTCATGCACCTTCTTTCTTTTGTGCTCAATTGAAATCTATTGGTGAAGGGTGGTGACTGGGACCAGTACTTATGGTTAGCTGGCACCTAAATATTTGTAAATGGATTACATCCTTACCTGGTACACTGACTTGGTTTAAGGAGTGTCATGTGAGACTGGCATCATTCCTAGACTTTTATACCATGTTGCAAATGATCAGAGGAGTGGTTCGACCTGGGAACAATAAAGCACGTAAATGATTTACAGCTTCTGTGCGGATATTAGAATTATTTTTACTTGAAGTTTTCTTTGCATTAAACAGTGAGTTGGTCTGCAAATACTTTCGGATAAATTAATGATAAAACACTCGGGGCAATTGAATTCAACTGTATGAAGCGTGACTGCGTAAAGTAGCAAAGGCAGTGCAGGGTGGAGCAATAAGGATTATTCCCGTATGTTAGAGAATTGGGCTGTGAGGAATGATTAGACAAGCTGTGGCTCTTCAGTCTTAGAAGACATCTCAGAGGGGATGTTACTGAGGTATGTAAAATTTTAAAATGGGATTGAAAACATAAACCCAGAACAATACTGCAGTACGCACCAAAAGTATAAAGCAAGAGGATCTAGGGTTAGAGTTCTAAGCACCAAGCAGGCTGAATTCTAAACATCAGATTTATAACATTATAATAATAATCCTTCCATTTGTAATCACGCCTTATCACATCTTCGAGACGTCTCAAAGCGCTTCACAGAGTACTGTAAAATAAATGTTGTGGGCGAAACGCGGCAGCCAATTGCGCAGAGCAGTGTCCCACAAACAGTCGTGGATTGAAGTGACCAATTAAATTTATTTTGAAGGAATTCTTACTCCCGGAAAAGCAATCCACCATTCGACTAACAACCAGATTCCTACTTACTGTTAGGTAATCAGAAGTGTGTGCAGCAAGGAAACTTGCCCAACATTTCGCCCTGCTGGGAATCGAACCCCGATCTCTCGCTTGCGAGCTGAGTGTTCTAACCACTGAGCTACAGGACTCCACGTCTCCAATATATTATCTTTTTATCAAGTTGTTCTATTTGTTGTTGATTAACTGAACACTGCTAACAATAAAAAAATCTTTGCATAGTCAAATAAAATAGTATATTAAGGAATATAATGTAAAGTGATTTGAATGTGTATTTTGTGGACAAAACTGAAATATTAATCTGAATAATGTCCTACTGTTATGTCTATCTCACTCAGTCAATGTCAGTCTATCTCTCTCCCTCTCTCTCTCTCTCTCTATGCAATAAAAGGTACAGAATGCCAAGAGTCCATTCAGCCTACACCTTCTTATAGATGTACAATTTGCATTATTGTGGACTTGGACCCATTTATTTAAACTTCCGCGGCAGGTGAACAACCACAGGGAAAACTTCTAAGAACACACATTTCCTGCTGAGATATTTTCAATAATCAGACATGCATTTGTATAACATGCATTTGTATAACACCCCTCACACAGGATAACATCCCAGAGTGTTCGACTGTGGTAGAGCATAGTGTCAAGCCAAGGGGAAGGGGGGGTGACCATAGCCGACATCAGGATGTTAATACTGCATCACGCTATTTGAAGCTTGTGGCTCAATTGTATGAACTCAGATCAGTTACATTCAACTAGTGGCAATCACACAGATCCCAAAAGCATCCAAATAGGCATATTCCACACTTTTCACATGAAACCTGCAGCTCAGTGGTTAGAGCACTCGCTTTGCAAGCGAGAGACCTGGGTTTGATTCGCGGCAGGGTGAAACCTTGGGCAACTTTCCTTACTCCACACACCTGATAATAATCCCTCAAGAAAAAAAAATTAATTGGTCACTTCAATCCACGATGTTTGTGTGACATTGCTGTGCGCAATTGGCTGCCGCATTTCGCCCACAAATATACAGTCAATTCACTTTACAGTCTATTCTGTGAAGCATTTTGAGACGTCTAGAAGACGTGAAAAGCGATATATCAAAATGCAAGGATTATTATGATTAAACCGACCACCTCGACCCCATCCCTACACCTCTCCTTAGCTCCCAACTCTACCTCCTTGCTTCTCTACTCACAGACATCAGACCATGTCCACTATTACTGTTCCCTCCGCATCAAAAACAGCTGTCATCACTCCTACCTGTAGAAAAAACTCTCCCTGGACCCATCTCTGCTCTCAAACTACAGCCCCATCTCCAATTTCCCATTCCTCTCCAAGGTCCTGGAACGTGTTGTTGCTTCCCAGCTCCGTTCCTTCCTCTCCCGCCATTCCCTTCAAGAACCCCTCCAATCGGGTTTCCGTTCCGCCCACAGCACAGAAACTGCCCTGGTCAAAGTGACAAAAAGTGCCTTCCCCCACCTCCGCAACATCACCCAGCTCCACCACTGGCTCACACCGCAGGTCGCCGAAACCCTCATACATATATTCATTACATCAAGGCTTCACTATGCAAACTCCTTGCTTGTCGGCCTCCCCAACTCCTCCCTCCATAGGCTTCAGATCATCCAGAACTGTGCAGTCCGTCTTCTCTCCTGCACCAGACTCTGTGACCCTGTCAACCCCATCCTTGCCCGACTCTACTGGCTTCCCATCACACAGAGGATACAGTTCAAGATTCCTGGTCCTCACCTTCAAAGTACTCCATGGTTGTTGCTCCCCTCTACGACCTCCTTACCATCCTGCCCGATCCCTCTGCTCAGCGGGCTCTGGCCTGCTTCAATTCCCCCGCCTCGCCCGCCCAACCATAGACGGGCAAGCCTTCTGCCACTCTGCCCCCACCCTCTGGAACTCCATCCCGCAGTCCCTCTGATTCACCCCCTCCCTTTCCCTCCTTCAAGACCCATCTCAAGACCCTCCATTTCGACCGTGATTTCAATCAGTCTGCTTCCCCCCCTTGCTCTCCACCCTCCCCAATCCCGGCCCCCAGCTCCGGTCCAAAACTCTGATTGCCCAGCGCCTTGGGACATCTTCCTGACATGAAAGGCGCAATACACATGTGATTTTGTTGTTGTTATAACTTATTCAATCTGCTATAATTCAGATGTTTCACCAGTGCTATATGTGCACCAAGTGCTCTGGGACCCTACACTGCGTAAGGGGAATATATAAACGCACATTGTTGTTATGAGCGGCGCCTGTACACAGAGATACTATGAGAGGTGTCCATACACAGAAGCATTAGTGCAATGCGTTTGGATAGACATAATAATTAAGTAAGGAGGACTGATAAAAACGGATAGTGCTGGAAGGAGTACCAGGGAATGATATGCGTTCAGCTTTTGCAATGTTCTGTTTCGCTATCTAATCTTTAATAATACACGCACACCGAGCACGGAAAACAGATTAACGACTTGTCAAATAAAGATGGTGGAGGAAATTGGTGTGAAAAAGCGAGATTCTGCTACATAAGACTACTGTATTGTGGTTTGTGGGCTGAATTCTCTCAGTGAATTCACAGATTTCAAAAAAATAGGCAATGCAACAAAAAGCACCTTCTTAGCTCGCAACTTGTCGCTTTCTCCAGCATGTTTCAGTGAAGAGCTTCGTAAGCATTTAATATGGCTCCTTATCAAGTCATTGAGTCACCTCAAAACATTTCAGATGATATATTGTAAAGTGGATTGAACTGTGTATTTTGTGGGATAAAAGTGGCAGCCAGTTGCGCACAGCAATATCACACAAACAGTCACAAATTGAGTGACCAATTTTTATTTGTTGGACAGGACACCGGGAGAAACTGCCTTCTCTTTTTGAATAATGACAATATTTCAATTAATA